GGCAACAGGCAGTCCAATGTTAGACAGGAGAGAGGGAGAGCTCAGTCCAGAATCAGTGCAGTGGCCTGAAGCCAGGGAAGCGGTCACGTAAAGGGGGTCTGGCGAAGAGGGGACTGGAGCAGGGCACGAGCAACCGGGAGCAAGCAAGAACACACCGGAGTGGGACCGGAGCAAACTAGGGCACCCAGGATCCAAGGGGAGCAAGACGGGCCCAGACTGGAACAAGGCAGGGACGAACCAGAGTGAGCAGGACCAGACTGGAGTAAGGCAGGAAGAGCCGGAGCCACCAGGACAACTTGCGCTGCGGTGGCCAAGGACGTCAGTCCCAGGAAGCCTTTTCCTGCGCAGGCCCGCACAATGGGCTCGAGCTGCTCCTGCGGAGCCCGCAAGGGTGCTCCTGGCTCTGCAGGCACTTGCAGGGCCCCTCAGGCCTGACCCTGGCAGCCAGGAAGGGTACTGGCCTGAAGCTGTACGGTGGCATTGCCAGCCCGGGTGGACAGTCCTGAAACAGGCGGCTAAGTCCCGTGGGTCAAATACTGGTTTGGCCAGTCACTGGGTCAGAAATAGTGACTTGAGTCTATTGGTGTATCAACGCATTGATTTATCACACTTCAGCACTGTCCGATAGTAGAAGCTGTTTGGAGTTGTGACAACAACTGAAGCCATTACGGCATGTGATCACACTGTTAAAGTTTAATGCTGCAGGATCAAACGGAAGTGAAAACCAAAGTTAAACCCAGCAGTATGAAGATTCAAAATGCAGTAAAAGGTTTGAAACAGAAACAGAAAGACTAAAATGCCCGGGGAGTGAAGCAGGTACCCTCACCTGGTGCATGAAGGAGAGCAATGTAACTGCCAGGTGCCCCTGTCTGGGAAAATCCTTCCACAACCACGCACCGCATTAGAAAAGGCTCGAGATGTGTTCACACTGACAAGGAATCCAATATAATACTCTTTCCTAATCACAGAGACCTTTATTTTGTAAAGGGCTATTTTTGCAAATATTGTCTCTGCGGCATGTCGTTTGAGCCATGTATTCCGATGTCCAGTCTCTGGGAATGTTAAGTATTATGGTGGCATAACATTGATGTGATTTGGATCTTCATTTTCAACATGCAAAATGTCCAGGAAACTCTCACTTTATATTTGTATCTATGCATTCCTTTTGCAAAGGCACTTGTGACCATGTGTGGGAGATTTCTTTTTATTTTTGTGTATTTATTTAATATTACTCTGCTTCTTATTTAATTATTTGAATCCATTTAACTATTTAAACTTGTTCTCACTGTTGTGTCAAGCAGAGTTGTGAACGTGCGGCCACCGTTAATATGTGGGTGAGTAAGGTCAAGAGGTGGGTGGGTTGGTGGCCCATAGGGTTACAAATTTATTCAAAATGGCCCTTGTGATTGGGTTTATTTTATTGTTTTTACTGATGTAATTGTTGTTGGATGTTGGCATGTAATTATGAACATCCATATTTTTAGTGCTGCTTTTCTGTAAACTGTTCTGGGAACCATTTATGGCTGTTGAATGGTATATAAAATCAATCCATCCATCCATCAGTCAGCCAGTTAATCTACTTTGTAGCCTTCTGAGAGATTGAGTGATGGGGAGTGGCGAATTGAGTTGGGCTGAATTGAAGCCCAAGACTCAAACCACTGCATGATCGTGAGACTTTCCTTCTATGGGAAAGAAAACATTTGGTTACTCTGCAGTGTAGTCAATGACCGGAAACTGCCTGGTTAGCTTCGTTCTCTGCGCAGCTCCTCTGCACAACTCCCACAGACAATTCATTTATTATTTATTTAAAACTTGTATACACCGTCACCACATGCCTCGGCATCTTGGGAAGGCTCACAGCACATACAGTGAAAAACAATAAAACAACAACAAATTCCATAAAATATTATATAAAAAGAAAAACAAAAAACAAAAAAGCGACTGTTAATGATAAAATATTAGTTTTTAAAATAGCAATTAAATAAAAAGGTTTTAACCTGGCATTGAAAAGAATATAAACTCAGCACCAGGTGCACCTCTCCAGGGAACACATTCCATAATCTGGGTGCCACCGCAGAGAAGGCCCTGCTCCGGGTAGTTGTTCTTTTTATCTCCTTTACAGAGGGCTCCCAGAGCAGAGCCTCTCCCGCAGGTCTTACGCCCCTTAAGGCATTATTTATTTATTTAGATTTTTGTACGCTTTCCCATTGCATGAGCCTCTGGATGGCTTACATACAATAAATAAACACAATACAAATAGTGCACATAAAATCCAGATTCACCCTGTAATTCATGTGAGGGAAGAGGCGCTCCTTCAGGTATCCTGGTCCCAAGCCGTTCAGGGCTTTATAGGCTAAAACCAGCACCTGGAATTGCACCTGGACCTCAACTGGAAGCCAGTGGAGCTGGTAGAGGACCGGCGTTATGTGAGAATAACGACTGGTCCCCGTCAGCAGCCTGGCAGCACTGTTCTTTACCAGACAAGTTCTTGAGCAGTTTGTAGCGCCTATCCTTACATGGCATTCTACAAACTGGAGGTTTTAAGTTTTACGAGCCTTTTGACTCTTACTTACAGATTGCCAGGATAGTGTGAATGTAATTGACGTTTCAGAGCAAGGAGGCGGGGATAATTTAGGGCATTTCCTTGGCAGCGGCATATCATTTGATTCAGACATGGAAGTATACTTGAAATGTTGCCATATTATCCCCATGCATTTTGCAGTGCTGGAGCTTTGGATCAATAAACCCGTGTGAGCATTCAGGCCTCCTGTTATTCATAGCTACAGGACATGCTGGGGACTGGGCAGGAATGGCATCCTATGGGAATTAACTTTCTGATTCATTAGCAACATTCCTAGAGGGTTGTAGCCTTCTTTGTAAACGGCATGGCTTAAACTAGGAATGCACCTGAATGTTGTATCAGCCCACAAAGCCCTCAGAAATGACTGGCTTACAATCTCAAACATAAACAGGTGCACACATCTGAAATCGGTAAATTTGCAATCTGCAGATTTGTGAACTGTGTGCTTTATATTCACTTGCACCTGCAAAATGCACACTTTTTTTAAAAAAATCACATTTTTATAAATGGCAGATCAGGCTTGTTGGAAGACATTCATTCATAGGGGTTCCATCATTTGGAGATGACTTGATAGCTTGTGACAGCAACAAGAAAAGTGTGCAATTTTGAAGAACCTTAACCCTTTCCCATTGGAAATGTGCATTTCACCCGTTTGTAAGTGCCAAATCAAAGGCTGGCAAATAAGAATGGGAACCAAGCTTTGAAGTGAAGTTCAGAGAACTTTGACAAACTTGATCATCCCTAGTTCTACCATCTGTAGAACAAGCCTTTTGGGGTGGGAGGGATTGAATCGGAAATGCTGTTCCTTTTTAAAAACCCAGGGGCAGCGATACAAACTCACAGGCTTATATTCTTTTGAGTAAAACTTTAGACATATCGCTGCCCTTTTCTTCAGTAACGTGTTCTGTCAAGGCCAAATTTTGGAGAAGCAGCAAGTTATAATCTGTCATGTTTGGTAGGGCAAAGAAATGATTGGGCAAAAGTTTGTCTTGGTGCTTGTCCTCAAGTCAAAGCCAAGGTTAGATGGCACTGCCGAAACTCCAGATAATGCAAACTAAGCGCTGCTTTAAATCAAGTAGCAAATGCAAGATCCATCCTGTGTGTTGAATCCCAGCCCGAAGAATACAATTTTGCAGCTTTCAAAATGAAAAAACAATCTGGTACAAGCAAGCTTGGGGTTTAGAGATCTAGGGGAAGGGACCCCAACCTCTGAGGGGCAGCTTCTTTAGGTGAACTTGGCACATGGATGAAGCAGGACATAAGAAATTTGAGCTTAGACCCTGCAGATGTGTTTCTTTTATTTAGGGTATTTATATATTGCTCTGCAGCCAAACCAATTCCAGAGTGGTGAATTAAAATGCATTGGCTCTCGGGGCATAGGGCTGATCTACCACTAACCAACGGATTTGCGCATACACGCCTGTGGGGTTCTTTCTTGTCTTCTGGGTGCTTCTGTGGGAAGCTGCTTGCCAGTGGAAATATTTGCCCCAAGTTTACCAGCACATCTGCAGATGGTGAATTGGAGGGCAGCCTTGGGAAGGGTGAAGTGTGTTTCCCCCTAAGAACAGTTTTGTAGAGACAGAGCTCTCAGTGACAGTGGAACTGGCGCTTCTGACCCCGGCTGCTCACAAATGAAGGAGGACAAACGTCACTGTGAGTGGCTCTTTTCTCTCCAGGTTGGGGTTCTCCTAAAAGGCTCCCTCACTTCAAATCCTGAAACAAGAAAAAGCCTGGCAAAGATCCAGCCCCTTTTACTGTACATATGGCATCACTTCTTTGGAATTTCTTTTTTCTTTAAGCAACAAAACAGGTGATCTTTTGGCAAGCGCTTCTGTACCAGAACTTTGCCACCTTAGGCGAAAGGGGACATGGCTTTCCTCCAGGAAAACAAAGAAACAGAAAGCAGTGCAAGGGAAAGAGTTAAATGCCACTAGGACCAGCATTTCTTGGTCCTGAGCAAGGGAGGCCATGCTCTAGCTTAACTACCTGGAACTGAGATTTCCCTTTCTGTTCTGCTCCTGCAGCCTTCTTTTCATTTAAAATGAACGTGGAACTTTTGACACTTGTTTTGGTTGTTGGTGGTGGTTGCTTTTAACCTTTCTCTGATTTTCTTCTTTATATCTATGTAGGATTATGTAAACAATATGTGTAAAAGGAGAAGGTGACGCTAGCAATCCTTATGGATAGATCAGGGCACATGAAACATGAAAACAATTCAGGCTGATTTATCTTTCGCAAATATAAAAGCCTGGGTGGAGGGAATCAGAGGTGCCTGGAGATTCAAGGATGTGTATTTGCAAGAATAACATACTCGAAAGCTTTATTCTCCAAGTCTGTCTCCTCCATCTTTTGCTCCTTCTAGTTAATGCAAATGATGCACATTTCTCCCATAACCCTCTCCGTCTTGCTTTGTTTGTAGGTGTTTGTGATCACTGTTTGGCATTTTGAATTGTACATGGTGCCCTTGGCATTGTTGTTGCTTTTCGCTTACAACTTCTCCCTGCTCACTCCAGAGAAAGTCGCCAGCATGCAAGACCCCCAGGTAGGTAAACAGTGCTTCATATTTCAGGACCAATTATTATTTGCCCTTGAACAGTGGAGAAAATTAAGGCTTTGAGTATGTTCAGTTTAATGACAACAGCTCGTGCAGTTGGATTTCTAAGTGTCACTTTAAAGTAGGCACTTTCCTCCACATGCAAAAAAGTCCTTTGTGAACTAGGGAATAAAGATCCTCACACTTTTAAGAATGGTTGCTACAATATATAAGTCATAATTTTATTTTTATACTCTTAATTCAGAAGCCGCCCTCGTGCATGGGGGTTCTGTCTGGATAAATGGTCCCTAAACAAACAAATCCAGATAAATCGTGGAAGGGTCTCCTTTGGTCCCATCAAATGTGTGGGGGGACAGTTCAGTCGGAACGTGTGTGGGGGGCTTTGGGCAGCCTTTCATGAGGTTCCCCTGGGCACAGTAGGCAATTGGGCACGGCAGGTAAGGGGCACCCCTTCTTCCTCTTCCATCCCCCAGAATTTCATCCCACTGATATCTCAGGAGACACTGGAGGGACGCTGAGAGGAGCAGAGCAGGGCTCCCAGCGACCTGAAGTGCCAGCTGGCTCATGGTCACTCCTGGTCTCCCAGCATGGGCAAGGCTGTGGAACGGGGAAGATGGAGCGTGGCGAGGAGGCAGGTTTGGGAGACCCAGGCAAATGTGATGGCTGTTCGCACTACCGCAGTGTCCCTGCTATCCTGGGCGAGGGTGGAATTGGGCACGTTTGTGACTCCCCAGTGAAGGCCCAACCAAACTGGCTGCTCTACTTCCAGGCCCCAGCGAGTTCGGGGGTTTGGCGCATGCCACCCAAGTCCTAAGCAGGGGTTGGAAAGGTGGTGCACATGGAGGATCGTAATAGTGGCAGCAGGTAATGACGACGGGTTGGGTCCAAACTAAGGTAGTTACACATAAGTCTCACTGAAATCAATGGGAAAAGTTAGTCCTCAGTTAAATGCCATTGGTTTTTAGTGGGAATTCAGTGCAATTAACTTAGCTTGAACCCTACACATAATCTACACAGATTAATGACAATAATAATAAAGGATTGATGTGTAAAGAAATGCAAGGAACAAGATATGTGTTAGGAACCTTAAAAATGTTTGAAAGTTGCCAATGAACCCTTGGTTCTAAATCTCAGTCCCCCCAAACTTTTGAGAAACTATTATACCCTGCATGTGTCTGCAGGCACCCGCACACATACCGGATTCCTCAGGTAGATTTACAAAATGGTAGGGATGCCATGAGTGGGGCCGGGGGTCAGACTGGGTGGCCCAGGAGGCCCCTTCTGACTTGCTCGGTTTCTATGTGTCTAGTATTTGGTCAGCATCTCAGACCACGGAGAAAGTGAGTCTAAGAAAATGTCACTGAATTAAGACATCTAGAAGCACATGGCGCAGAAATGGCATGTCAGATGTAACTGTGGTTTTCCTCTTAACTCATGTGGCACTTACAAAGTGGACAACTCCCTTGTGCTAAACGAGAGAATGCAGCACCATCACGTATAAGGAAAATTGCTGCTTTCTTGTCAAAAGCCAGTTAGCTGGTCATCTGTAATTACGTATGACCAGGCAGAGAATCCATACAAAGAGGTATTTATTTATTTATTTATTTATTTATTTATTTATTTATTTAGGACTTTTGTATGCCGTTTTCTGTTGCTTTTTATCTCTTGCTTTATGGGAAAAATTAATCACCTGCTTTCCTTCTCCAAAAAGAAACACGAAGTGGCTAATGAAACATGCGGACCACCCCTGCCCCCAAAAAAGACAGCAACCCATTAATTAAAGATCATGACAATGCAGCACCTCCAAACTTAATGGTTTACTAACACTTAAATATACAAACTGAAACAGCAGTGAGAACAACAAAAGAGCCAGAATCCAACAGGACAGTGGCCTGTCAGGGTGGTTAAATTCAGAACCAAATGAGTTTCAGGAGTTTGCAGAATGTAAGAAAACTTTGTCTAAATGTAGGCAAATTTCATTCTTGCTTGCTTGCAAATCATGCCACCAGATTCTGTTTCCAATCCTAAATACAAACTGGAGCAGGAATGCAATTTTCAGAAATGTTCAGTTTTTTGAACTTCCTTCACATTTGGAAGTTCACGCCCGTGTGAAAGTGTGCTTCCAAAAATGTGCATGTGCTCAGTACATACTTCAACTACATTTTAGCTTCCTTTTGGGTCAGAATGTATGAGGAATCCAAGAGGGAATAAAAACTGACCAATTTTCATGATTTACTCCCATGCATTCTTGTTACCTCACCCAACACAGACACTGGCTTGGCGTTGTGTGAGTCGAGCCAGATGGGACATCCGTCTCTATGCTAAGCTGTGTTTTGTGCACAGTAAACACCAGGGAAATGTGCAAAAATTGCACTGTTTTTGCAAACTGGAAGCTGAGAACAACATGTGACTTGCACCCATCACTCGAGAAGAGTGTACTTTTCAGCTTCAAATTCTGTAGATCCTGCACCTTGCTTGTGCTCATCAGATCAGAAGTGGGCAAGAAGTCTGCTGAACTTCAAGAAGAAGCTGGACCTCCAAGTACCAACACTTGTCCACCTTCTATACGAAACCTATTTGACCCTTGTTGACAAGAAGGTATTTCATACACCTCACAGGAATGCTAACATGCCACCACAAACACAATTTCTTGACTCCAGACTGTATTGTTAGCATTCCTGTAGTTTGTATAAAACCACAACAAAGGCTCTTAAAATACACTGCCGTTTAACTTGAATTAAACTTAATTCAAGACAGCTCTGGAGCTTTGCAGAGAAACTTGCTTTTTCTTCTCCTGCCTCCCATTGAGGCAGCTTTCCTTGGTGCTTGTGCTCTTTTGAAGTGGGCGAGCCTTGCCTTGTAAGAGCCCTTAGGGAACGGAGCAATTGGAGGGGTTGCAGAAATGAGTTCTTTTGGGTAAGAGCCGTTTGAAAAAATGGTGCTAAAGCTCAGATCCTTGGAGCCGGAAAGAAGTGTGGATACTTGCCTTACTGGAGAGATGTAAATGGAGACACTGTTGGTGAAACCTTCAGGAAAGTCAATCACACTTGCCCATGTGGAGAGCAACTTTGTGATCCTTCCTATTGATGGGAGCTTAAAGGAAGACGGCAAATTGTGGAACACGGGAGTTCCACTGGGAGGGCCCGTTGCTTGGTGCGCAGATGCATGTTCAGCGCTTCAAGGGTCCCAGGTTTCCTCTCTTGCAGGGCTTGGAAGGTCCCCATGCCTGAAAACCACTGCTACCAGTCGCATCATCATACTGGGCTATGCAGGCCAGGGTTCTGCTGCAACTTCCTACCATAACTGTTGCTTGTTATTAAAATATTACCTTTGTACCCCACTCAAGGCAACTTGCATTGCTGACTTGGATTTGGGGAAGCCAAGCTCAGGGAATCTGGCGGATTCCAACTCTCAAACTGGTTTTCTTTCACATACCTGCTGTGAGGCAGGTTAGACTGAGAGTAGCCCAAAGTCACTGGCTAAGCAGGATCTAGAATCCAGATCTGCCTGGTCACAGGGCCAGCACTTCACCACCATGCCACAGTGGTTCTCTCCTAGCTTCCTGTATACCTGCGGATTCTTCTGCATTTTTCCAATTCTGTTTTGAGCCTCTCTCTTCCCACCCACCCAAGAGAAAACAACTTTTCAGTTAGCCAACCATTTCAAGACTGCTGAATATGATGACAAATGATAGGGGACTACAAAAACAACATGCAGTCCCAAGCCCTACACTTGTATCCATAAGGACATTTAACATGTCTTTTATTACATCTGGAAAATGGGACTTTTCTGCACTAGATGGAATTTGGGACAAACAACTCATTAAATACAAAGGGGGATATTTTAAAAATAGAGTATAACGTATTGTGGAGCTGAACAAACCTGATGAAAGTTGCCAATGTAGAGTTAAAAACAGCTGCTCTCCATCACTCATTCTCTGGTGGCACATCAAAATCTAAAATGTTCTCTTCACCACTGCTAAGCGGGTGATGGATGCTACAATTTGCTGTACATTTTGCTGAGGACAATATTTTTCCTTAGATCACCTCCCATGATCGATCAAACCTTATTTGGGAAACTTTATCTTAGGAGAATTCACGTCGAACCCCCTTGCCCACTAGAAGAACACATGGGGACTTGAGGGGTTCCACCAGCCATGTCCCTTGCATACAGAGGGGGCCTGCAGGAGGGGAACCATGAATGGTCCAGGTGTAGAGGAGACCTGTGTGTATACTCGTGGGTGCTTGTGGGAAGTGATGGTATGGCCAATTCATGCATCGCTGAGAGGTAGGCGGTTGCTCAGCAAGAACTCCAGACACACAAAATGTGCATTCATTGTTTAAAGTGCACTCACTTCTAGCCCCATCTATTACCCTGGGAGTATTGGACCATCCCTGGGCTCCTTAGATCAGGATCACCGACATGTTCCTCAGACCTACCTTAACGACACATGAGCTTGTTGGCTGAACCCTCTTTTCTGCTGTGACTCAGCTCCATCTCTCACACGCAAAGGACTGAAATGGTTTCCAGAAACATGGGGGGCTGAACTACATTTACCGTTAATGGATAGCAGGAACTTACAGCTGTACTTCCTTTCCTATTCACAAGTAAACATGGGCCGCCTGGTCCAAATAGAGATGATATCATCCTGTGTAGAGGGAGTTTAACTACTGCTGCAATGGTCCTGATCCATACTGAGAGCCCTGTGTCTGCAGTTTGCACAGAGGAAGGAAACTTCCAATGAAGTGCCAAAGATTTTGCTCATGCAATAGTTTTCTTTCAATTCCAGTGGCCCAGTGTAGCCAGGTCAACTGCATTATTTTTGAAGATACTTAGAAAGAAACAAGGACATCTTTGCCAAAGATGAACTGCAATTTATTGAATGAAATTCTGAAATATGGATGTGGTGCAGAAATGATTTGAAGAAAGTGTATCCACCCTTTTCTGTAGGTACTGTATATCAGTTCCTTGAATAAGCTGGGGGATGGTTAAGGGACCTCCAGAGTTACCCAGGTGAATTACACGTTGATTCCTCTCCCCAAGCCAAAGAAAACTCTTGCCACACTTCCTCTGTTTCACTCTGTCCCTCCTTCCCGGCAAGAGGACAAAGCTGCCTCAAGACAAACAGTTCCATTCTCAGAGCAAAAGCAGCTCTTATCTGCAGAGTAACTGGGATGGCAGCTTCAAGGCCATCTTCTCTGATGCTCCCCCTAATTCAGTGGTGGAAGGGGCTCTCCTTTGCTTAGGGCTGAGAAGGTCATCTGGGAGGGCATCCATTCATCAGGCTGCCATAAGTAAGTTGGAGATGACTTGGTGGCACATGGCACGAACAAGCAACGAACCTGCCCAGCTCGGCTCTGCGTGGAGCTTGCCGTCCCGTGTTTAGGGCTTTGCTTCCAATTTCTGGTTATTGTAATTATTGAACAAAGCAGCCTTTAATTCTGTTTTGGCACATTTTCTCCACAGTCATGTGTAAATATTTTTATAGTGCGGGGTTTGGGGTAGAAAATATGTATCTGCTCAAAAACCAACAGCCCGGCTAGTCCAGGAAATCTTCATTTTATACATCAGTAGCAAAGGAGAGACATTGAAATCCAAGTTGCCCCTGACACCCCCATCCTAACCTGTTTTCTTCTTTTTTATCAAATCGAGTGATAATGCGGTATAGAATTTTGTATCTGATTCTTAAGATTGATTATGTGCTTGCTAATGTATTTTCTCCCCCCTAATGTTTTGGTAATGGCCCTAAAGGGAGAGAACAGCCATTGAAACAAGCAAGAGGCTAGAACAAACCGAGTGCAGAATTCTCAGCCTTGACATTCCAACTGGTTCATTTGTCAGAGAAAGAACAAAACTGTGTACTGGCGGTAAAACTTGGCAATGAATTAAAATAACATAAAATAGCATCCCAAAGCCTCTTGCCTTTAGAATGATTAGGCTGCATCTGTTTTGTTTAGATGTATTTTTTTTTTTTGTCTTACATGAGGTTTGTTTTGTACTGATGTTTTCTGATGGGCAAGGGCTGCTTTCCAAAGTAAAAGCCTCAAGTCCTTGAGAATGATAAAACTTCATAAAATAGTCAAAATCAAATGTTACCTTTAAAGGAATGTGATTAAAATCACACTGTCTTGGTATGTGAGTGAGTGTATTGGTGGGGTTGGGAGCGAATTCATTCTCTACTTTTGCTAATCCTTGGCCTTTCTACTTAACAGCTTCCATTCCAGTGTCAGCTAACTGGACTGGAACTGGAACAGGAATGGTTGAGCAAAGGACGGAACTAGCAGTGTCCTTGGATCAGCTTCAAAGGGTGGAGAGATACACCACATTTAAAAAAAAAAAGCCCTAAATGAGGTTTTTTGCCCCACCAATAAAACTGTTCCAAAGAAAAGAAAAGCAGAAAGCATGTGGGCTTGGGGTGGAGAGAAGGGACTAAGGCAGAGGACTGGGAGAGGGAAGATTCTTGATTTCCTCTTGCGTTCAATCCCAGACCTTGTCGATCCAACACAGCACGGTCTGAACTAAACAAGGGCTGGTCTGGGACAGAAACCTGAGCCTCTGCCAACCTTCAGCCCTTATGTACTGAGGGCAAATGCCTAAACAGAGCTGTTACCTTTGGTAGAACCATAAGCTGCAGAGTTCCTCCTTATTCTCCATTAGACGTACAGCAAGAGACCAGGTTTCCTGCTCCATTTGACTTTTGATTCACAAAATAAAGGGCCATTCATAGAAAAAGTGTTTCCAGCATCCCACTAGAGCTTCTGTTTGTTTATTTATTTGGGAATGGCAGTCAAAGGGATCCTGTTTGTTTTGGCGATCCATGCCAAGTGCTGAAAGGGCTACTAATTTGATGCAGTTTGTTTTGTTTAAAAAATTGCATGAAATGGTTTTGGATTCCTAACTTTAGGAAAGATAGTCTGGTACCATGACTGCTATTTATTTCCGGTGAACTTTTGATAACATTGCAACTAAGTACAGTTCCATATTTTTTTTCTGACCAACATACACATGAGCACAAAATAACAAACACTTGCACAGGCTCCTTCTATATGTTTTATAAACTGTATTTTTCGTTCTTTCATTAGGTGTTCTGCTCCTGCTTAGGCCATTTTACTGCCAATATTTCCATGAGACTATCAATTGTAGACGCAGAATATAATGAGGAATTCCTAGGTTTCTTCAGTGATCTTGATTTATTATGTCTGTTCTTTTTTGTTGCCTTTATTGATAACTTTATTCTGAAATAAAATAACGTGTCCTGCAATAGTCCTGCTGGGTACTTAATCTTCTTTTCCCACTGTCGTGTAAATGGTTAGCAAAGGCTGAGACAGTAAAATTACCAGGGGGCAAAGTCTACTGTTGCTGTCCAGAAGGTTGGGACCACAGCTCTTCTCATCCCCAGTGGCCCTGCAGACTGGAGATAATGGGGATTGTAGGCCAACTCGTCTGGCGAGCACCCAGTTAGCAAAGGCTGACCTAAGCATGGCCAAGACTCCCATAGAAGGAAGGCCTGCCCCAGTATATAGTTTCTCCACATGTTTTAACCCTTTCCCTACCTTTTGGAGGTGAGATCCACAAGGGCACACAGAGTACGGTATTTAATTCCAGTGCACATTTCCTTTCAGAGAATGCTTACAGCCTCTTTAAAAATCCTCAAGGTTCTGATGGCATTTAACTTTCAATGGGTTTTGTCCTTTGAGTTTTATTGGCTACTGCTTCTTTCCCATTGTCCGAGTTTATTAGGCTACATTGTGTGTTTAACTATTCTTTGCTCTCTGCCTTGTGGGTGAAAATGGGTGGAAAAGGGAAATACAAAGCAGTAACCTTGCATATAAATCAGGCAAAGCATGCTAACAGGCTGATTCTGCTTTTTGTTTTTGTGTTTTTGCCTTTAAAGGACTGCATTGTCGTGGAGGATGATGAAGATGAAGATGACAAAGTAAGTGTATTTGATGAGAAATGCAGGCTGAAACTATAGAAGGACAATAAGTGTGGATTATGTAAAGCTCTCTCTCTCTTTCTCTCTCACAGAGAGTGAGCAAGAGAGAGAGAAATCGATTGGTGTGTTAGAAATATCCAAAATACTCAGAAAACGATACTCTTAGGAGGACCAAGCTCAGTCATAAAATAGTCTGCAGGCTTTCAGGTCCATCAGAACTCGTATTTGGGCTGAGGGTTAAGCAGAGCAGAAGCAAAGGTGGATCGTGGGAGAGAGAACTGTTGAGCGCAAGAAGCAGCCCTGCCTGGCTGGCGGTCAGTGAGGGTGGGGGCCAGTGCATGCCCAGGCCAAAGAAGGCAGCCTCCAGTTCCCAGCACGCTCTAGCCAACGGCAGGCTCTCTTTTGCGTGAACACGCACAGGGTTGCATCCTAGGGTCGCGTCTGATGCTTAAAATAGGATGAATGTAAGAGAAAGAGGTAGTTGTAGTTATTTGATTGCAGGCGTGGGGCCAAAAGCCTGGTTTGCAGCCACACATGCTGGGTCAAGGAAGCAGTGGCAGCCCCCCTTAGACGTTGGTCCATCCATCTCGTCGTTCCCCCTACACAGCCGGCTAGTCCAAATGGGCCCCAAACGGACACCGGTGGACAGTGCCCTCTGGCCACCAGCTGCGTTCCCCTGGGTGGCATCTGCAGGAGAAAGGCCTGGTCCTCGGTGCCCTGCCCAGGTGGTGGATCCAGCGCAGCATGGCGTAGCGTCCTGCTCCCAGTCAGCTCCTGCCGAGCTCTCTCCCCGTACCGGCATACCTCTCACGAATGCGATGCCGACGGTGGATGGGATGGTCAAGGTGTGGGGAGGACGCAGCTAGCCTCTGTGCTGGGGTGCGGTGGGCGGGATGTGATGACGGAGGCCAAAAGTGAGATGGTCGAAAGTGAGAGACTGTGGTTATCCTTACGCCCTTATTCTGGGGCCTTCCGAGAAAACAGGATGCTGAGGCAGACTGGCCTTTAGTTTGATTCAGCAGGGCTCTTGGGTTCTCAGGCCGTCCTTCAAAACCAAGGCATTCAGGAATGTGCTAGATCATGCATGGTCTAGTTTGGTCCAGACGTCTTTGTTGGCCTTCTGGGTCAGAGTGGGCAGCTTGTGTCCCCCAAGAACCAGAGGAGATGGCTTTTGCCCCTCCAGAGCTTTTGGATTGCAGCTCTCATGCACTCCAGCACATGCAGTCCATAGTGAGGAACCATGAGGTTTGTAGGTGGAAACATCTGGAGAGTTTCCAGGTGCTCAGACCTGCTTTGATGTTGTTGGACCAGAATGCTTATGGCCTGTGGCCACACTAGTGGGGGTCTGTGGGAACTGGCAAATGACAACATTTGGGTGGCCCATCCCCACTTGGATGTTAAGGGATTGTTTGGAAGTATGCTGGAGATTCTGAAGGTGCAAGGTATTGCAGAGAAACACTGGGGCATTATAACATCTTGCTATTATGTTACTGAATGGCATAGAAGCAAATGTTATTAAAAACATTTCCCCCACAATGCAGCAATTCCTAAAATTTGGGAAAGCTGTTGGCTGGGATCTGCCATAGAAGGTCATGGTTTCTATCAAATGTGTGTGTGTTCTGTCAGAGTATACAGAGAACGGGGGAGAGAGAGCATTCTTGGATTCTGTTGCATGTCAGACGCAACAGACCGTGCTTCTGGGGATTGTAACACACCCTCAGAGACTAACTGTTTATGACTTAGCAACACATAGACACTTAGTTCAAAACCAGAGGAACCGATTAACTCCCTTCCATGTGAATGATCAATCTTTAAAACAGAAAGGCTGAGTTGCCAGCTCCCTTTCCTTTCCAAATATCAATGGAGGAGACTGTGATGGACGATATCTGTGGTACATTCCCAGTGCATATACCTTCCTGCGTGATTTTCTTTAGCATGGCTTTTTTAAACAGAAAGTTGAACTGCTTTCATAGTAAGATATCTGAAACGGCTTCTGCTGGGAGCACTGTTTCTCCTCCACCTACATGCTGAGGCTTATTTATTTATTAGACTTCCCTTCCAGATGTAGCAATCAAAGATTTAAAAACTATTAATTGTTTTCATCTTTCCATTAGAGGAGGGCCAAATGGAGATGACTTTTGGTTTTCATGTTGAAATGGGTTTGTTTGGAGAAGAGGGAGGTTTGCTTTGTCTGTCAGCTTTCCCCTAAAGTCCTGGACACCAACTGCACCTCAGCCAGAGATGTGAAATAACTTCCCCTAGGATTGTTTTAAGGTTTCAGGAAACTGCAATCCCTATGCTGTCAGTTGTACGGTGTCAGATCTTGGCTCGGCTCCTATACTGCAGCACTGCTTCCACAGCACACAGATGTTTGTCTGAACTGTCAGATGATCACGTGGGTAGTGATCCTCCGGGCCTCACCACACACCCTGGAAGCCCCCATGAGCCAAATCCCCAGCCTTCCCCTATGGACTCCATCAGCCTCCTCCTGACTGGCCCACTGCGGTCCTGAGATGGGTCCCTGCTTCCTCCTCCTGATGATGGTACCCATAAGTTCAGCACCGCAAAGATGTTTTCTTACACTTCCCTGCTTCTCCCTGCATATTTTCGTGTTGTCCGTGTTTCCAAAAGTAAACAAGGAGATGGAGAAATTGTTCTGCCAATGAGGATAAAGCAAACAATGAGGTTTCTGTAGCTAGTGAGCAGAGGGAAGTAAAAATTGAAGGCTAGGAGTGGCCCCTTCTGCAACCACTCTTGCCAGGCGTCTCTATGGTGTTTCCATACCAAGAATGGTAAAATGGTGCTTTGGGGTCCAGGTGAGTGAAGAAGTGACAGGGAAGGAAAACCTTAGAAAAGACTGTTGATTCTTTCCATGGTTTCAGAAGGCTAATCCTATCATGTGGGTGCTCCAGAAAGGGGCCGGGACGGCACAACAGACTCACCAGGCCAGGATTTTACTTTGGTTTTTCATTCTGCGTGAACCCACCAAAGCCGCTGCAGAATCCTTGTGACTGACTCACCAGGCCTGGGCTTACACATAAGGCTGAGTCGTCACTGAGGCACCATCCCTTTGATTTAGTCTGTAAGCCATAGAAGCAGCGATAGCTGCCTTAGGCTGAGTCCGTTGCCAGCTCAGTGTTGTCAGCACAGTGATTCCTCTGGTTTCTGGCCCTTCCATCCGTCTGTCCGTCCGTCCTTCCTTGCCCTGTCTGGAGATGCCAGGGATGGGACCAGACTCTTCCTTGGTGCTCATCACTTGCAGGAGCCTAAGCCTCCCAGATTCCACATCTGTAGACCAGCTTTCAAAGTCCTCAATCCCTCTGGACGTATTGTATTGAAACTCCTAGCCATCATGGCCCCCTGTAGGCCAGCTGCCCGGGATGTGTTGGATTACAGCCCCTGTCATCCCAAGCCAAGCAAGGTGACAGGAAGGGAGGGAAGGCTCCTTCCTATTCTTGCTAGTTTTTTTAATCCTGAAAGAAGGATAATGAAACTAAAAAGCACCTTCCCCTTAATTCTGTTTCATAGAATGCCATTTACTTGAGTGACTGCATCAGTGGCTATTTGAACGGAGTAGAGCTGTATCAAATGCTTCTTTGCTGAGGTATCGAACAAAATTTCCAGATGGGTTGAAAGCCACCGTAATTATGTCATAGAATTACGTAGGACCTGGGACTTGCCTTGAAAGTATATGATGAGTTTCCGCTGCAATTCTGCTCCCTTAAGCTGCCTGGACAGAGATCACCTGGAAGCCATCTTTCAGTTGCTCTTAGACTCTTGCAGGGAGAGTGACAGAGTATTGCTGTGATCAAGAAGTTTAGAAAGCGCATAATTCATGTGATATGTTCTGAGGCCTCTGTCAGGCAGTGGCAGTCTGTACTGTCGAGTATTTGGTATCTTTTCTACTAACAAAGATTTTCTTCTGCTTTTGTCCAGGCATGCAGGTAGAGAAATATTAAGTGCTCCACTTTCTCACTGACACTGAAACACCATGGAAGCTTCCGACTATGCATTAGCACCCATCTCAAAAATGGGGTTTATTGTCTAATCTACGATTTTCCAGGGCATGTACGCATAGCCTTCCCAAACGTATATATAATTTTTGGAAACATCACAAATAAAATTTATTACAATGTGCATGCATTATAATGCAATCATAGAAATATCATATGAAGACCTGCCTGTCAATCAGGCATTGCTATCTCATGAGCTCCCATGGTTAAGGGAAACTCATCCATCGTCCCTTAAAAACCTGATGGGCTCCTCCTGTTTTCACCTGCCACTTTAGGTCCAGTGAGCTCTGTCTTGCTTTTCCCAGCAACTTAGAAAATGTCACCCCATAACCCTCCCTACAGAGGAGTTCAGAATATCATTTTTCCTTTGGCTGGTGGGGGAGAAGTGGACTTCAGCAGGAGAACTGTGCTGAGAGTCAGTCTAAGTGATCCACATTTTACTGATATTTCAGGTTATCCATAGCTGAAATTTGCTGATCTTCAAAGGGGACACAGTTATGAGCCTCCTAGTAGCTTTAGGCACAGGTCCCAAAGCAAACTGGAGCAGCTTGCGCTTCGTTATCTGCTGTGGACTTGAGCCTCTGCAGCCCACATGGTCATCCAAGTGAACCCTGTTGGGGAACTAGCGAGGACAGATGTGCCACTTCCTCATCCTGTTTGTGCAGAGCATCTCCTGTGTTGCTCCAACACCCAGGATTCTTCTCCGCTCTTGTCTGGGCCTGTGACACTCACACTTGGCTTCACTAGCTGCTCCCTTCTTGTTTCAGTTTTTGGACTGCTTCCCAAACATAGCCTCAGTGTGCTTGACCCCCATGGACCCACCTGCCACAAAACCTTCTCTTGATCCCTCTGAAATAGTTTCCCTTCTTCCGGATCCCCAAAGGGTTAACATTGCAGGGACGCCCAATTCCCATCCCCAGGAGGATCCGCTCCCGCAGGAAGGTGCTGGATCCACTGAAAGGCTTCGTGCTCAGTTGTGGTGCTGCAAAGCATTGGAATTGTGGGAGTGAACACCCAACACAGCCATTGTGAGCATTTGCCTGCTTGACAAAAGTTGAGATCGTGAGCATTTCAGCTTCCCTTGGGCAACGGCCATGCATCTCATTTCCCAAGTTCAAGCAGAGGTGAATTACTTAGACACAGAAGTCTTGAAATTCTGATGCAGTTCGTCTAAAAAATAAAAATCTTTTCCCCCTGCCACGCTTCCCCAGGACCGTCTTTTGTAGTTTTGCGCAAGCAATTAACAGAGAAAGAAGGTCTGTCTTAGCTCCAAATAGGAGGGGAAGATTTTAAGTAACACACCGATCATGTAATTAATTCTCAGTTGTAAGTTCGTTTTGATGGTTTTAATTCTTTCCCAGAGGCTGAGGGCTACTTTCATTCTGCCCAAAGTGCTGCAGTCGGCCAAGAAGCCGCCAGAGTAAGAAAGAGGCTGCAGCGACGGGCAGGGGACCTCTCTGCTTAGCACAGCCTGAGGGAAAAGGCTGGGAGGACAACTCTGTGCAGGCAGGGAATTTCTTCTGGCCTTCGGACAAAGATCTCTGAGCTGCGGGTGCTGGTCCCTTTGCGGATGCATGTGCCTTGTCTGTGAGCTAATTCAGACGTTGGCTTAGGAGACCCAGGTCACCAAAGAAATCTCCGTGCACCCCTCAAAAGACGGCTGACTCTGGGGAGAAATGTGATCCTTGGGTGCAACACAGACATGGTGGCCCTTAGAGTGCACGCTTTTGCCCACTGAGACCAGAGGATAACTGCTTACTCAGTGAGTGTCCACCCCATCCGTGGGCCCATTTGGCCCATGTGCCCAGCGACAAGGGCTAGATCCAGTTCGCACGGGTGGACCTCCTTGCAGTCTGTCACCCAGCCTCCTTTGCTCCAAGGCCAAATGGGACCCAAGATGAGAACGGAGCACTAGCTGGGAGAGAAATCCCTGGATAATGAACGGTGGCAGCCAGGGTTTAGCCCAGTTGCCCTGCCCATGTTTTGGCTTCCTCCTCTTCCCATACACCTGCTTTCTGCTTCCGGCATGCTCAAGCGTTAGCAAAACACTCTTTAGCTGGCTGCACTGAAGCACTGGATGGCTTTTCTACCTGCTTTCTATTGCATTCTGTCAGGAAGCAGGTGTAGGTGCTGCAAACATGACCTGAGAGCCAGAATGACCATTTTCAAGTTTTCCATCTACCTTCAACTCTTTATGTAGACTCAGACAAGCCTCTTATTCATACCTACCCTCCCTTACCCCCATCTGTAGTACGGGTATATTAATACTGGCCAACCTCGTAGGGCACCTGACCAGAGTTCTAAGACAGTGTATGTGAAGTACTAGATAAATCATAAGCATTAAGCTGATTGTGTTAATTAAGCTGCCACTTGATTGCAGGATTTAACATACCTGTGATTGGGCAGCAGCATGTTTCAGGTCTCCCATTTCCATCCCAAACCAAAGGTAGTAACAAAGACATTAATTCCTGTCTTTGTTATTCAATATGCACCTGAATATGAATATGATAATATGGATGTCACATCTCCAGATAAAATGCCATTGTTGAGTATTTTACTTTCCAACCACCAGTAAGATTTGGTAAGACCTGAAATCTCCAGGTCCTTGGCCGCTTTAGCATTTTCAGAGTATTCGACTTCTGTATATCCATGTTTCTGTGGAGTCTGTAGAAACCTCTCCTTCCTGGCTGCTGCAGAGCTCCCCCTCCCCAGTACGTGGCATGCGGGGCAGGGGGAGAATAGCACCCAACTGCTCAGTTTCACTCTCAGGAAGAATGAAGACGCTTGGTGTGGCCCCAGCATTCATCTGAAGAAAAGAGCGGTCCACAAAGGAAACAGAAATTTCTCATGGCAATTTTAGCAATTTTTTAGACTAATAGCCAGGGCATGATTAATGCAATCTCCTTTGCTAGCAATTTTTTGACTCATTTTCCTGTGCCCTTGGGGGAATTTCATGCTCTGCTCTAGAAATGCCACCATCTTCTTTTGTACGTGCACTTCATATCTTTGGGGTAGTTATAAAGCGCCTTTTGCCCTGCCAGGCCCCTTAAAGAAAGGCACCGCTTGCAACATAGATTCAGCAACAGGATGAAATTGCAATGGCGAAAGAAGCAGAGCGTCCTTAGAACACTGATGCCCATCCATGTCCTGGCAAAGCGGAGCCGTTCCCACTGCCCATATAAGCCTTGCTGAGGATGCAGCCCCGGGGGGAGCGCCACAGACTGGGAGCTGCTGCAAGGAAGACCCTGCCTCACAGACCTGGCTGCTCTTGGTGGTGGAACATTCGTGCACACCTCTGTGTCTATCGCTCCAATGATTTGTCTGCCTGCAGCCAGGAAGCTGCATAGGATGTCCTTCTGAATAAATCAGTCCTTCCATTTTAACTCAGCCTCTCATTCTTAGACAGTCGGGATAGCTTGCAACAGAAGATGTAATATTGTCTCGCTAAATTGTGTTATCACCACATTTTTGTAGCACAATCTAAGACGTGTAAACAAAGCCAGCGGGGTGCATCTCCAGCTGCCAGAAGATTGTCTTCACAGTTCCAGGTTGCAAGATAAGGCTTGCCCTGGAATATCGTGCGCGTCTGGCTGTGCTCAGTCTCAGAATGAGATGGGATGGGCAAAACACTGGACAGCGAGCGCCACTAGATCTCTAAGCCAAGAAGACCTCTAAGCTTGTCTGCTGCAGCTTGGAAAAAGCATCCCGCAACCTGGGAGCATTTTCTGCCACCTTGACTCGGAGGTCGGTGCTGCAAACGCCTGTTCCCAAGCATATGTAGGCTGAGGTGGCAGGAGAAGGCGGAAAGGGGCAGGTTCAACTGATCCCCTTCTGTAAGTTCCACCCGCCCACGGGATGCTCCAGAGGGGAAGCCCACACAGGAGAACCCCTTTGTTTGCCTTGGCTACCCCTCAGGAGCAAATTGGGAGGACCACGTCGTTTGTGTGTGTTTCCAGGAGAAGTTCTGGGTTCATGGCAGTCCACAGAGAGATCCACGCATCTCCCTTCTCCCACCACCAGCAGCTTTGGCACATGGGAAGGACCCAAGCAGGCCTGGGGGCTGCCAGGGTGTGTCATGGCCATGCATCCTGTCTCCATCGTGGAGGGACGGGTGTGTTCCTCCAGGAGTGGAAATGGCTCCACATGCACACGGGTGTTTGCCCACACTCAGCTCTGCCATGCAATGCATGGGGAGCCCTCACCCAATCCGCAGCGCCTTGGGCACCCTGTGAGGATGCATAGCAAGCAGAGCCTTTTCCTGGATCAGTTGAGCGCACAAGCAGAAGGCAAGTGTTTCTACACGACTGTTGGTGGGGTGCGAGGCCATGGCGCACATCAGTGGCGGGGAATAGCCCAGCCAGCCTCGCGTCCCCCATGCATGTGTTTTCCAATCCATGGGGGCAGGGCAGTGATAGGGTCCTTCAAAATCAGGGGCCGAGGCCCACAGGGCAAAAGGAAAACACACCTCTTTGCATGTCCAGATGCTCTCAACTCTGTGGGTCTTTGAAGGACCCTGTCCCCTAAGGGCACCCCTGTTTGTGAAAAGGGGTGTATGGACAGGGGAGAGGAGGGCACTGGATTTGGGGGGTGTTACCCTCAAACTGAAAGATTCAAGGGGAGGCAGCAGGAGAAGGAGGACACGGAGGGCAAAGGCTGCTATCCGGGAGGTTCAGCTGGGGCAGAGATTTTCAGGGCCCTTTTATTCCACCAAGTGCCCATGGACAACAGGTGGAGGGAGCAGATGCTCTCCTGAGATTCAGGGCTCCAAGTGAAAGCCCAACCCTGGTTCTCCATGGATGGGGGAGGCTCACATGAACTTCTCCCCCTCTTTCTCCACTTCTTTCTTAAGCTACCCTAAAATGCAAAGACATTCCAGCTGTTCTAAAGGAAACTTTCTCTGAAACACTGAAAGTGGGAGAGTAGCACTTGCTATCGTTTTTTAAAGAGTTAAAATTAAATGTGGCATTTGACAAAACACTGTACATTTCCAGGCTACAGACTGGGGCCATGTGAGCCTTTGGGTTTTAAAGTTTGCTGTGATAAATACTTTTGCCAAGTATCTTGTAAAAACCTCTCTTATTGCCATTATTGTCCAGGACAGTTTTAGGAGATAACTTAAAGGTTTGTTTGTCCTTTCCCCCTTTTTTCCTCCCATCTTTTTCCTTAATCCTTCCAGGAATCTGAAAAAAAGGGCTTAATAGAAAGAATCCACATGGTCCAAGACATTGTCATAACAGTCCAAACTGTCCTGGAAGAAATTGCGTCTTTTGCAGAGAGGATAAAAAAGTAAGTGAAAAATGTGTTCCTGTTTGCTTTGAAAAACCTCTGAACATCAGGATGGAAACAAGTGGACAGATTTAATTGGGAATTACTGGGAGGCAAGCATGTAAGAGCAGAAAGGTCATTGGATAGCCATGGTTTTTAATCCACTAGTCACAAGGCCCAATATTGTAGCATTTATTCATTAATTCCTGATTTTGTCTGCCTTGTTCATTTAATTATGACCGGGAGCTGGTGGAAAATTATATTTAAGCTGAAAATATAGCAGTACATTCTTGGCCGCATTCAAGTTTTCCTGGTGAATACTTCAGCATCCTCTCCCCTGCCCCATCACTATCAAATTGTGATTTGTGTAGCGTGTTGGGACCACAAGGGCTCTTAGAATACAAGTCCGCCAGGTAGGACATGCAAACCATCAAAACCATCTCTGAAGACGACCGCCAAGCGTGTTCCAGCTCACGTGTGCATGCTTTAAATGCACAGCCCCGCCAAATGCATGTGGGGAGGGGGCAGTGTGGAAATGTGCAGTCTCTGACTGCAGCCTGCATCTTAGTCTGTGTTGACCCTGAAACGTGTGAACTGGAGGTAAATCCCATGGAAAATGAACCAAAATGCACTTCTCATACATCTGCAGCATTCCTGATTCTTGGAAATCTCTTCCTGCAGAGCGCTGTGGAAGAGAGAGCTTAGGGCATTTTCCAGAAGCAATGGAAGCCCCTAAGGGGGACGCACAGGGGATTCTCGACTAGCCTTTACGAACTTACGAACATGCAAAGGGCTCTGGCACTCCCGCCCTAGGGAAATTCGCCCGGCGCCCTCTCTATTTTCTTTTTCGTGCCAGGCAAAGACATTTCCTTAACAAAATAATAACAAAACTTAGCCCTCCTGTATGCTGTGGCCTTTTTATATTATTATTGTATTGATGTTCTTAATTTTTAAGAGTTTTAATAGGTTTTTATGTGTTGTTGTCATCTCTGTCTCTGTGTGCGTCTGCCTGCTTAATATGTTACAAGCTGCCTAGGAAGGCCTTTTGGCAGTTACAGGTAACCTATAAATATGTGAATAAATGAATGAATAAAGAAGGATGAGCAGAGTCCTTCAGTTCTAATTTTGAGGCCGTTCAACCCAGATCTCCAGACTGATTCTGGGTTGTTTTGGCTTTTTATAATGCCTTCTTACTTCTGGGCAAGCCCCATTACATAGATGACTTCCCTCTAGTTTGGCCTTGCATTTCGGAGGCATTAACTACTATTCACAGTGCCACGAACTCGGCACAACTCATGTATGGTTTGCCTCAACTTCAGCAGGGCGACTTCAGTCTGTTTCCCCTCCCATTCTCTGGCTGAGCTTCCTCCCAAGCAGGAGAAAGCAGTCGTCCTTTTCTCTCCTACGCTGGCGCAAGTGTGTGACCCTCCCTTTTTAAATACACAAACGCACCAGACACAGATTGAGTCTTGTCAACAGTTCCGCTCTTTAAAGAACAGCCGTGTGGGGTCTAAAAATACGACAAATCCATGTGTTGTGGTTCAGCAACATCTGTCGCAGCTGTACCGGAAGTGGCCGAGCGGAGGGTGAACAGAGCACTGTTCTGTATGCAGCTGGATGGCAGGAAGGCCTGGAACCGTCAGCTGGCTCTTAATTCTGGCATTCATTTGGATGACAACGATCCCTCAGAACCCAAGGGGGCATTAATAGGGCTGCCCTGCCTAATCCCCCAGGAATCCCATTGTAACTTAATAGTAATGTTGCTATGGACAAGGGGGATGGGGGGAAATCCACCCAAGTGGTTTTAGCAAGTGTCGCAATGGTTTAGATAAGCACTTCCATCTGCATAACCCTGACTATCAAAGGGCCCCTTTTAGCACTTGATTCGGTTGGGCCTGGTGGATTTAAAAATACTTTCCATGTACTTAAGGGGCAGTCCTCACCCCTGCTTTAATTTAAATTGTGAAGTCCTTATTGAAGCGGAGAGAGATGTTATTTCCTCTCCTCAGGCAGTAAGACAATGTATTCTTCATGGCCCGATCTGGTATTCCTCCAGTTTGGCCCATCCCGTTGCCCCAGCGCCAGGCTTTATGTCCTTCCAGGAGGCAACCCTGGGTCATTGCCTGCAGACAACCCTGGGCTCAAAGGGCAGAATGCAGGTCTGGGGGCTTCTCATAGGGCACCATGACTAGGTTCAGGGAGCTCTGCCCGATGCACATGGTCACTCCTGGGGATCTCACTCTTTCTTGCAGAGGGGAAGAGAGAGAGGATGTTTGCCAGGCTGGGGCACACACGCATGTGCCTCGCTCGGGTTTCTCCCCACTTGCAAACCCATGCGGGACTCAGGCATGAGAGCAGCAGTGCAATGCTGTTTGAAGAACACTGGCAATCTTGAGCATCGCTCCTTTACTCAGAGGCCATTTCTTTTCTCCTGAAAAAAGTATTTGGGGTAACAAAAGCACTTGAACTTGTTCAAGTCCTTGAAGAGGCCAGCTGGAGAGTTGCACGAAGAGATGTCTATGCGTCCCCAGCAACGTGATTGACAGGTGTTTCCATTTACTGGATAATATGCTGTTCCCATAATGTCCCCTTTCAGCCCGAACATGTGAATGGACTTTGGGGAAAGGGCATGTGCTTTCCGTCTGCTGCCAGTCCCATGTGCCAATCCCATGTGCCAGCGACTGAATGAAGATCCAGGGAAGACCTTGCCCCCTCCATGGAATTGGTCTCGGTGGCTTGTCACTTGGGTGGACACCATTTAGGAAAGCAAAATAAGTGCTTCTGAGCACCTGAACATTGTCTCTCCGTCTCTCTCCCCATGTTGGCCCACAGCACGTTCAACTGGACGGTTCCTTTCCTCTCTGTCTTGGCCTGCTTAGTGCTTGGCGTAGCAACGATTGTGCTATATTACATACCACTAAGGTGCATCATTTTAATATGGGGTAAGTTAACCTTTAATGCCACCCCCCCCCCCCACCTAATTCAGCCGGGCATTTTTGCAAGCATCCCCTGCTCTGTGAAGGTGGTTAACCTCTGGCTGCCTAGCCAGAGTTGGCTGGAAGGATTCTGCGTGAGCTTTCCCAAGTTCCCTCTTCCCATCCTACCACAAATGGATTATTTTTAGTTGAGGGTAGTTCCACTAGCAGGGATCCCCAAGGCCGCAAGCCGCGTAGTCCAGGCTTTTGCGCAGCGTTCCCCCTTCCTCAAAGGCTGGGATGCTCTAACTTTGAAAACGCAGGATTTTTTAAAGTACAGGCGCGCACGTGGATCACAGAGCTAGAATCTGTATCACCTCCTAGGGAACATTTGCGGCACTTGCTGGAAACAGGCCAATAAATGAACGTCAGGTGCTCAAAACTAGTGAACTTGAACCAGCTCCTTATGACGTCCATGGTTCAAACTTTGGTTTTTCAAGTAACCCTATATATGCAACCCATGAGATCCTTAGGAGAGATTCTGAGAGTGAGGTAGAAAGCCAAGACCAGAAGATCTTCAAAGAGTAAAAGAATTTGGACATGTACACCTTGATATACCACCAGAGGGACGCAGTGGAGCGGCTTTGCCTCCTGTGGGGGCAAGGACTTCCATGATCAGATGCAGAGAGAGAGGTGAAGATGTATCCCACAAGGGATCGCCATCCTACCCTCCTAATTTGCCCAATTGCTTTTGACTCTCTCTAGCTTTTTGGAAAAGTGGGCAGAACATGCTGTGATCAGGTGGGTCTAAGTATTCGGTTTGAGAACATTATCCCAAATATTCTGACCCAGCCACCCACTCAAGCCCAGGTTCTCGCCAAGTTCTTCCAAGCTGATCTTTGGAGTGCTTGCCCACCTCTGACCCTCTCTAAGTTATGGTGCATCGTAGCTTGAGAATGGCTTTCATACTAACTTGGAGGCATATGCTTAGATATCAGGGCATGTGTGTATCAGGCCTGTTGTGAAAGGCATGCCCGCGGAAGTTGCCTCTCCCATCACACACGCGCACCTTTGGAACGCACGGGGCTGAGAGGGAACCTTTGCAGCCTGCAAGGCGCGTCCCAGGTTTTCCCTTCGGGTGTCTCTCCCGAGTCCTCCCTGTGACCTGCTAAGCCCTGAGTGAGGCCGCTCCTGCTTGGTCGTCGCTGCTTTTGAACAATGGGATTTTTCATTGCTGAGGCGAGCCGGGCTGCTTTGTAATAAACCTCCCACTGCTTCCTCCAAGGAAAGATGTTTGTGAATGATTCCACACGACAGCACCATGTGCCTCGCTCGTCTGTGTTTTCACACTAATTTTTTCTTGTAAAATGCATCCCCCCCACCCCAACGCCTTCCTGCCTGAGCGTGTGGAGGCGATGGTTGTGTGTGTGTTTTCACCTCTTCTCTCCCTCTTCAAACCATTTTTGTTTTTGTTTTTCTTTCCCAGGCATAAATAAATTTACAAAGAAGCTTAGAAATCCATATGCCATTGACAATAATGAGTTGCTGGATTTCCTCTCCAGGGTACCATCTGATGTTCAAAGGGTAAGTAATGAATGGCCGCTTCCAGCAGAGGCAGGCGGCCCAAGGAGCATCCAGGTGTGATGCTCGAGACACAATGCAGGGCAGTTTGACCAGCAGAGATAAGCATCTGACGAAACCATAAGCCAGGATGGGGAAGGAAGAGAAGGAAGGGGCAGGCCGAGGGAAAGGGGAGCCTGGAAACCTTTGTGGGAAGAAACTGTATCTCCCAAACAACTCTTTCTTTGGAATTCTAATGGGCCCGGAGTGCTTAATGGAATTACCAACCTGATCTTTATATTTCTCTCTCTGCCTCTCTCCCCCCTGCCCCCCGTGTATGCAATTTTGCACACCTGCACATAGTGCAAAACATACATTTGCGTCTCTTGGCACACTTTGGTCCACAAAGGCTCTTGCCATAGATTTTTCCGAGTTTCTCATTTTTCCAATGTTAGGTGCAGTTGGTCTCAAAAATTTCAAGATTTGAAAACACTTTTTATGTGAAAATTCAAAAGCGTATCTACATACATTTTTCTGAATACACTTCGTCTGGCAAGCATGCATGTCTAATGGCCACATTTTTGCAGGCAGTTTTCCTAACATAAGGCATTTCTGAAAGTCATTTTCCCTTGCATAAAATACTTTTTTTTTTTTTAGACTGCATTGCAAAATTCAAAGCAGCACATTGTGGAGGATAACTGATTTCAATTCATATATAACAACAGCAACAACTACAAAAACAGCAAGAGTAACAAAACACAGAGAAGAAACCCCAGAGGAAAAACAAAAACTAGCGGGGAAATAGAATGTCTACATATTGATCTTTTCAAAAATAGGCATTCCTAGCACACACAGAATCTGATTTTTTTCCCCTTCAGTCACAAAAGGACGATGGTATAAGGAGCAAATTTCTGCTGATGCAGTTGCCAGTGTGTTGTGTGTTTGTTTTCGTTTCCCTTCTCACACGTCCCTTGAGAGAGTAAAGCAAGGACCAAAACAGGCATGACTTTAGTTCTGTGACTCTGTCTTTATTTTTCTGTTCTGTAAGTGCCTCTGGGGATGCAGTCTGGACCTTTAAAGCCCCACCCCACTTGCGCCGTTTCCTGCTGCTCTGGAATAAAAATGCAAAAAAAGAAAAAAAAGAAAAGTAGTTCTTAGAGGTTTAAATCCTGCCTGGTTTAGGGCCCCATCCTTCAAAATAAGTGTTAACAGAGACTGCCAGGCATCTGGATGGGGAATACAGGATGCAGGAAGTGTAGCTCAGGTGATGCAACAAAGTCTCTGAAGCGTTGGTCCCAGCACTGTGCGATGGAGGTCTGGTACCGCTCGGGATCTGCTTCTCAATGTTGCCCAGCATGCCCCCCCCCCAGGGGTTGTTGCTGGTATTGCTTTAACTGCGCAGCCTTAGTTGAATTTTTGCTCCTTTGCACATGTCTCTTGACCCGAAGCACCAAGTTCTGCAGGATAGTTATTAGGGAGGCAGCGCGAATGCCATCTTGAATCCGGATTTATTTTAGATTAGTCCTTCCAGTCTATAAAGTCATTAAACCTAAATGCACTTTGCACTCCCCTTCCGCTTTTGGCTCCAACTCTTTCTTCTGCAGGACGCAGGATTTGCAGTGGCACATGCATTAATATTTATATGTGAAGATAAGCTGCTTTTCTGTTTGTTATACAGGAGGTTTGCATTTTTAACATTTGCCTGAAATGGTTTCTCTTATCCTCAGTGACCTGAAAGGAAGTCGGTGCTAAGGGGTGGCAGAGAGCAGGGGAGAGGGGAGAGAAGGAAGGTGTTGGGTTCATTGGCAAAAAGGCTTCCACAGTAAAATGTTGGGGAAAACGGTCCGAGTGAAGTACCACGTACAGGCAACATTTCTGATCTCCCAACACCGCACATTCTCAGCTCTCTCCTCCCTGCATAAACATCTGACTCGTTTTCTTCTTCCGAATTAATCCTTGTCCGATCTTGCATCTGCAATGTCGTCAGAATTATCCATGGTTTGCATGGCACACACTTTTGCGATTGTGCATAGAAGGATGTTAACAGATCTTAGTTGGAGTTAATTCAGCTTGCTTAAGTTTCACATATGCGTGCAAGTCTAAATGTGTTTAGCTCTGAATATTTGCGTACATGAAGTTAGGAAGGAGGAAAAGTACACGAACGGTGCTCTCAGCCTTCTTGTCATCAAAACTGGACAGGGTCAGAGTTTATATCTGCCCTCTTAGCACCTCCAGATGGAAAATATATGCAATCCCTGGAAAATCACTGTTTGTTTCTGTTATGCATGCACAGAGAAATTCTTGATACATAATTCCAAGAACTGTATTGGATCAGTTCTAATTATTTCATAGTGTTCCGTGAGCTTTTGACTTCTGCAGCATACTTTGATGAAGATCTTTTGGAGTGTTCATGTTGGATTTAAAACCGCTATTCCCTCAGACAGGGGATCCAGAAAGATGCATAAATGTGTACAAAGATGTACAAGCATTGCGTTTCTGGAACTGTATCCTATGTCTAACACCCTGTTTCAAACAAAATACCTTTTGTTGTTTGTTTTATTGTTTTAAAAAAACTGTATGGAAAGGAGGAGGAAAGGTTCCTGTGGAGTTGTTTTGATCTTAGAAGAGTTAGCTGCACAAGTCTGTTGTAGCAAAAGACCAAACCTGTGACAAGTGAAAGGCATGAACTTCAGCTGTCTTCGTCACATGTGTGAAGATAAATATATTCATTTCATCTGAAGCAGGGTTTTGGAGTGACTGTTTTGCAAGATAAATTTTAAAAAGAGCAAGCACACAGAAATGAAAGATTGTGTATGTGACACAATGCAAGTAAATAGCATCCCATCACAAAGCCTGTTACTTCCAAACTTTGGGTAAAGTTTGACTTTTCTCCATCAAATAAACACACGCACCTCGCTGTGTTCCCTGAGATCAGAACAAACCCCACCTTGATTGTATACTGTGTTTGTGGCAGTGGGTGAGGAAAACTCTGAGAAACAGAACTAAAGCTAAAATGGAATTTGGCCTTTCCTGCCGCATGCCAAAATCAGGTGGAAGTCCCCTGCCCCAGCCTGGATCATCTCATTAGGAAAAAAAATCTGGTTTTAATATTTTGGCTTTCAAGAAATGATGCATGACTTCTCAAATCCTTCCTGCAATTAATCCCCCATGTTACTGTGTTTAGAAAATGATTCATTACTTTTGATCCTTCCTTCGTTTTCCCTCAGTTTGTCCGTGGGGAGCCATTAATGCACAGTGGAGTGTGCTTGAGTTACCTTGTTGCAAACGTGATGTCTGCTTGTTTTTACAGGTGCAATATGCTGAACTGAAAGTGTGCGGCAGTTCCAGCCCTGTTAGGAAGAAACGGAGTGCTCTCTAGGACACGGCGCTCGGAATGTGGCACCCCTCTCCTTTATCCCCGCACCCCCGGGGTCTCCCACACCCCCTTCGGATCAAGTCAGCGCTGTTCTCACTGCCTCACATCCCAGATATTTCCTCTGGAAGACACACACACACATACACACACACGCGTGCGCGCGTGTGTGTGTGTGTGTGTGTGTAAGAGACCTTCCCAGTATGTTTGGTTGTTTCTCCAAGTGCACTGATTTTCTCCAGCAAGAAGAGAATCCAAACTCAAATTGCCGGAAGGGCAAAGGAGACCAAACTGCATGGGTGACTTCCTTTTGTTTAATATAAAAGAAAAGACCTTTTTTCCAATACAGCGAATCAGCAAAGCTGATGGATACAAGGCATTCTGGAATTTTTATTTTTTGTAAACCTATCTCCCAGATTTGTATCAAGATAAAAAAGGTGATTCATTTCTTGTGCAAAGTTACCATGTGTGGATGGTTTTATGCCTTGAATTAATGAATCCTTGATACCTATCTGCAGCTTTAAGCAATTCATAGTTTACAGTTTTGTTTTATCGTAACTACAAGACAATTGTAAGTCCTCGATTTTTCATGCTGCAGTTGCTGCTGACACTGCCAGTAACGGCGAGAGACTGGAGCAGCTCTGCCTGGAAGGAGTCGGTTGCTGGCAACGGGCGTCCCTTAAGCTGGCCCCAGACAAAAATGCAAGGACCAAATCTTCCACTAGACCTCGACGGCTCTGTTCCTGTTCCGCCCTTTAGGATTTCATGCAAACACTTCATATGCAAAATACTTTCTCTGACCTTCTAGAGACAGACGTTAAAAGGACATGTGTAACGAAGATACCTGTGCTTTTTAAACGGGCTCTTCTGGTCTAATCACGCCGTTCAGGGCACGTGGTGTGTTGCGCTTTACTTGGACTTGGGGCAGCAAAAGGCGGGTGTTTTGCTGCGATTATCCATGCTACTGAAAAGTACATCTCTGACCACTGAGGAGTGAAGTTGATGGTTGAAGCACTAATTATAAGCCCAAACTCACTGAATGCTTCAGTTATTCCCTTAAGCCACAGGTTGGTTTAAAGCACCCTTGTCCAACTTTAGCCCTTAGATGCTGTTGGACTATATTGCATGTAATTCCCTTGAATATTGCCCCTGCTGGCTGGGGATAATGGGAAGTGTAATCCAAGATACAGGGACCTGATGTTGGGAACCAACTAGAGGCACCATTCTTGCTGTGGGCAGGAAGGTTGTTTTTGATCCTAAGGATTCAATTCCCAGGCAAGTCAATTTTGCAAGGGGGCATGGGAGGTGGGAACACCTTAAAAGTAGCAATTTCAGAGATGGCATTTGGGAAGCCCCTATAGGGAACAGATCAATAGACTGTATTGCTCTTTTGTTTATAGGCCTTGGGTTTCTATGAAGCAGCAAAGTGATCCAGGGAGGGGGACTTCCCATTGAGATAAAGACGCAGATGGTCCTGGCAATTTAATATCAGATGCCGATGATCCAACTATCTAAAGTTATTAATCACCTTCTTAGATTTGAAGACACACGGACGGTTTTGTGCATGCAAAGATAACAGGCTTTAAATCCATATTTGAGTGGGGATTTCCTTCCAGGGGTCACTATCCTGGAATTCTGCACTCTTTGGGTCTTGCAAAATACCATGTCACACAAATGGAATGGGAAATTCATATTGCATCACTTATTTGGGATCTGCTTGTGTTCTGTCAGATGTAAGCTACTTTAAGAAGTTTTTGGAATGAACTGAAAGTTTGGTTTATGGGAGATTTTAATTTTATAAAAAATATAGTTTGATGACCCAATGAAGATCGAACTGGAGTGTGTTTTACTTTAAAGGACCGGTGGTCCTCCTCCTCCTCCTCTTGTGTGTGTTCTTCCTTCCATGTCTGCATTTCTGTCTGCATGCTGTGAGGCAGCAGTGCCTTCCAAGCATGGGAGCATAGAATTGCACACATGGCCACCTTTTGCTTGGTGTGCCTTTTCAGCTGGCTTCAGCAGAGACGGCAATTTTCTCCATGTTTTCATTGACACAAATGAAGAATTCGTTCCTTCCCAGTGTAAAATGCATAGTGTAATTAATATAAGTATAGTTGTGAAACAATTGCACCATGGAATATGTGTAGTCCTGGATGAGGTGCATTGATTAAGAGCCAGTGTGGTACAGAGTGTCAATGTGTGGACTTTCAAATTTCTTCTCATCCAAGAAACTTTTCAGGTAACTCTACGCCACTCAGTGTCTTTCTGTCTGCCCTACCACAAGGGTTGCTGGGAGAAGCATCTACTTCTGAATGGCTTGGAGAAAAGTTGGGATAAGAACTGTAATGAGTAATTTTGAAATTGCTCATAGGGCTTCAAGGCATTTGCCTCCAGTGGGCCTAAATGAATGCAGTAGCTTTTAATAGTTGCAGTATTTCTCTCTGTGTGTTTTTGAAGCGTGTTTTCTGAGACAGAATCTCTCAAAGACATGTCAAATATTTGAATGTCTTCCTATCTTGCATTGTGTTTGTGGTGAAACCTCTGACATGAGTCAGTGGAGATGACCCCAGGAAGATTTCCTGACTTAGTTCCCCCCAGATGTTTTGGATTTCAGCTCCCATCAGCCTCAGTTAGTCTGGTCAGGACTGCTGGAAGTTGTGATCCAAACCATCTGGAGGAAGCCAGGTTCAGCTTCGGTAGAGGAAAGGGAAGTACTCTTACCTGGGAATAATGCCGCTCATGGGCCTTAGTGATAAGAATAGCAGTGCGTGAGAGGCCAGGTACTGGGAGGATCTCTTGGAAAGGGGAGTCTAAGGTAGGTTGCACGACAGTTTGGGTTTGCTTGCAAGTGTCCGAGCATGCTCTGTTGGAAGCTCAAAAGGTCTCCGCCCAAATAACTGCAAATGGCCATATGTACTCGCATTCAATTTGTGTGATTTTCCCAGTTCACTTCCGCCAAATTCCCCTGCAGACTGGCAGCAGCTGTTCAACACAGGAAACTTGTTGCATTTGAGCACGAAGGACTTCAGGCCCTTTTCTGGCCCAATGACCACGAGTGAGCCAAATCAGGTGCGCCAGAAGTCATTCCCAGTCATTCCTAGCCTTCTTCCCTGCTCACTGGTGGCGGTGGCAGGCACAAAAGAACAGCACTGTGAGTGGGTGCGTAGATTCCTGAAGATCACCCTTCCCCACTCACTGCTGGAGGGGGTGGCAGGCATGCCAGGAACCGTTCCTGGTGACCGACCTTCTCTGTCCACCGCTGTCAGCAGTGGTGGCCGAGGGCACAGAGGAGGGCCACAGCCCAGGGAATCCAGTGGATGCCCACCCCCAGATGGATGCCTCTCCCCTCCCTAATATCGATACTGATGTACAGCAGCTGCCCATGGCTTCAGGAGGGGTTCTTTTCTGGCCCCACCTGGAGAAGCCAAGATTGAACCTGAGACCTCATGCATGCAAGCAGAGGCTCTGCTGCTCGGCCACTCTCAGTCTTCGATCTTGACTCAGACACCAAGAACTTGCCTTTGGGTGCAGCAAGGGTGAAGACGTGGGGGCACTCGCAGAGGTGCCCTCCTGGCTTGCTTTTCCTCCACCAGAGGTGGGACTAGGACTTCTCAGAGGATGTCATTGCCCTGCACAAAACACCCAGTTTCACTTCTACCTAGGACCTAAGCAATTATTTGAGCTTCAGGGAAGCCAGCACTAAACATGACGTGAGACTTGCCAAGAATATCAAGAGCGACAAAAAGGGCTTCTATCAGCATGTAAATGGGAAGAGGAAGGGGAGACAAGTGGTGGGACCACTAAATAAGGAGGAGAGAGATCCAGTGACTGATATTTAGCTCTGGCCTCTTGGCTCTGGCCTCTTGGCAGAGCAGCAGAGCAGCAGAGGCACAGGCTGGGAGAGAGGCTGAGTGGCCAGGGGACTGGCGAAGGCAAGGGAGGAGCTGGCGGGGGAGCAGGGGCAGGAGCAGCGGAGAGGAAGGGGGCGGGGCCAGAGAGGCCAGAGGGGCCAGGAGGAACAGGGGGCGGGGCCACCGGCCGGAGGGACTGATAAGGCCATGCTCAGCCACTGCCAGCCCTTTTGGCTCTGGCCTCTTGGCGTCGTCCCTTGTCTGTGTCCCTTAGCTGTGGCCCAGGCTGTCCAGGGACTCCCTTCCCTGGGACGCAGGGGCGGGGGGGTCCTTTCCTTTCCTTTCCTTTCCTTTCCTTTCCTTTCCTTTCCTTTCCTTTCCTTTCCTTTCCCGTTTCCTTTCCCGTTTCGTTTCGTTTCGTTTCGTTTCGTTTCGTTTCGTTAGTGCTGTGCTGTGCTTTGCTTTGTTTTTCCTCCAATTTAAATTTAAGTTTATTTTATAAATTTAAGTTTATTTTATCCTTGTGTGTGTGTGTGTGTGAGTGGGTTTTTGTCTGGGAGAACTGGGCGAGTAAGAGGAACTGCAGGAGAAACCAGGCAAGGGACCAAGGCAAGGTCTCGGAAGGGATCCCGATGGCAGACCAGGAGATGGCGGGAGTCACGGGTGTTGCTGTCCACTGCGAGAGCTGCGACATGTTCGCCCTTCTCCCCCGGGAGAGGCAGGGATACACTTGCCCTCGGTGCAAGATGGTGACCCTACTTGAGGAGGAGGTGACGGGCCTGCAGGCTGAGAGAGATCTCCAGGGCCCCTGGAAGCAGCTCCCCTCTGGACAGAGGGTTGAGGGAGAGGCCACGGGAGGAACAGCCGCGGAGACATGGAGGCATGTCACCCACAGGAGGACATGGAACCAATCTGGAGCTGGGAAACAGGTTCTCTCCACTTGGGGAGGATGGGGCTGATGAGGCCTCGGGGGACCAGCAGGACCCCCAGCCTGGGATGTCAGGCAGCAAGGGGGCCACTGCAGGAGAGGCGAGGGCCAGGGCACGGCTGCCCACCAGCACCGGGAAGGTACGGCGGTGGGTAATTGTTGTTGGGGACTCCCTGCTGAGGGGCACTGAGGCAGCAGTGTGCTGCCCCAACCTGGATACAAGGGAGGTTTGCTGCCTGCTGGGCGCACGCATCCAGCATGTGAAGGACAGAGTGGAGCGTGTTGTTCGTTCCGGGGGTCACCAGCCGCTCCTGGTGATCCACGTGGGCACAAACGACGTGGCCAGGCAGGGTGTGGTTGGGACCACCAGGGACTATGAGGCCTTGGGGAAGAAACTCAGGGAGCTGAAGGCCCAAGTGGCCTTCTCGTCAATCTTACCTGTCCGGGGATTTGGGCCAGGCAGGGACAGGAGGGCCTCCGAGGTGAACGACTGGCTTAGGGTGTGGTGCCAGAAGGAACGCTTCGGGTTCCTCGACCACGGCACTCGTTTTCTTGCCAGTGGACTTCTGGCAAGGGACGGGTTACACCTCACGAGGATGGGGAAAGGTCCTTTGGAGATGCTCTAGCGAGCTTCGTCTGGAAGACTTTAAACTGAGCCAAGAGGGGGTGGGTTCAGGCCCCCCAGAAATGTGTCTGCACTGAACAAGTGTGGGGGGAGGATCAGGGCTCTGGGAGCAGGGTTTTAGAGATACTGCAGGGACTGACAGGACTCCTACAGAGAGGGGCCAGGTATCAGGGAGGATGGGAGGAAGGAGGAGGCTGGGAACTCCAAGTAAAGGAAGCGGTGGGAAGGAGTTGAGATGCATCATGTACACCAATGCTAGGAGCATGGGAAATAAGCAGGAAGAGCTTGAAGCACTCCTGGGAATAGGAGGGTATGACCTGCTGGGAATCACAGAAACTTGGTGGGATGAAAGGCAAGTCTGGAATGTGAACATAGAAGGGTATCACCTTTTTAGAAAGGACAGGAAGGGAAAGAGAGGTGGGGGCGTGGCTTCATATGTCAGGGAAGGGATAGGATGCAGTGAGATAGAATGCAGCACAGATGGGGATTCGGTAGAGGCAGTCTGGGTGAAACTTAGGAGTTTGGCAGGGAAAGAGATCTGACGGGGTATGTTATCGCCCTCCAGGTCAACTTGAGACCCTGGATGATGTCCTGACAGGCCAGATTCTAAGGATATCTCAGGGGAGAGACACAGTAAGTATGGGAGATTTCAGTCTCCCGGATATTAGTTGGGAGACTCACTCAGCGGTGACAGCCAGGTCATGTCACTTCCTAGAAGCTATAGAGGGAGGGTTTTTCACACAGAGGGTCCGAGAGGCAACAAGGGGGGGGAAGCATCCTTGACTTGGTCTTGACCAATAGGGAGGAACTGATAGATGAAGTACAGATTAGGGGAGCTCTGGATGCGAGTGATCACTCCACCCTTGCTTTGAGATCAGGGGACTGGGGACGTGCAGCAGGTCGAGCACTAGAACCTGGGACTTCAAGCGGGCCAACTTTGGCCAACTGAAGGCCAGACTGGGGAAAGTCTCCTGGGATAGGTTACTGGAAGGTAAGCGAGTTGAGGAGGGGTGGATGGCACTCAAAAGGGAGGTTTTGGAGGTACAAGCCTTGACAATACCTCTAGTCAGTAAGGTGGGGAGGAGGAGGAGAGTGCCGCCATGGATGCGAAAGGAGGTTGTTAGAGGGATTAGCCGAAAGAGGAACCTCCATAGAAAATGGGTACTGGGGGAAATAGACAAAAGGGTATACCGGGAGGAGGAGGCCCGTTGCAGAAGGATTCTTTGCAAGGCTAAAGCTGATTACGAGCTGAGACTTGCCAAGAATATCAAGAGCAACAAAAAGGGCTTCTTTCAGCATGTAAATAGGAAGAGGAAGGGGAGACAAGTGGTGGGACCACTAAATAAGGAGGAAGGAGATCCAGTGACTGATACAAGGGAACAGGCACAGATGCTAAATGACTATTTTGCCTCTGTATTCTCCCCAA